TTTAATTACCCCCTCCATTCTAGAAGATCTGTTGTCACTTTTATAGATTCTTTAATCTTTTATGCAACTCAACGGGTAACTATTATTACCCACTGAGAGCTGAATTCATGCTCATTACTAGCATTTAAAGGCAAACAAGGTAGGTGAATTTAGTATTCATTAAAGTGGCTTCTGTAGGGTTTTGGTTAGGGACTGGTGACAGAGAAGCAGATTGATAAAAGACAGCAACACTTTCAGTGCAAATATTTGGAAGAGAAAGCAAAACAAAACCAAGAAGAGATGGCAGACCTGCATACTGAAGTAAGAAAAAAAAAACTTGGGTTATCCTTCAACACCCTATTTTAAGTCAGAAGACATTAGAAATTCACATGATATTTTAGCATCTTGGTTACATTCCACAAAGTGCACTTTTGTGGGATAAGTTGCTTTTGCCTTTACAGTGTCCCCAAGTCATTATTAATTAATTCTGAAGTTCAGACACTAAGAAAGACAACAGCTCAGGGGAACACTTGAACTATTATCAAGCTTGAACGCTGCTGATGTGTGTGTGTGTATGTATAATATCCCTTGTAATTCTACTAATGTCTTATGTGCTTTACAAGGTCTACAGAACCATTCAGACCGTGACAGCTGACACCATGCCAATGGTGAACAGCTCTGGGAGTGAGCTGGGTCTTCATTGTGGAAATGTGTCTATCATAGTCTTAACGGTCATTCTGTTCATCTTCAGACCTTGTGACTTCACTGCTGTTAGCTTCATCTCCTATTATTCTCAGTCAGCCCATGCTCAGATGGACTTGTGATCTTCTGGCTCCATCCTTGTGGGTCCCATTAGCCACCCTCTAATTCCTGGAAATGTGCCAGAATGGGCACCACATGAGCCATTCTGCACCCTTGTGTTCCTTTTGCTTTATCATTTCTCTTGACATCTATCCAGGAGCCAAAGACTTCACATCCTTTACCTGACAGTTAAACACATAAAGCCATGGAAGCACCTTTGGATGCTTTTAGGTAGGCCCACTGGAGAGGTTTGCCAATAGCCATACACAACAACCCCACCTGACTTGCAGAACCCAGGTTGATTTCTCCCCAGTTTCCTACTAGCAGTTAGGATTATCTTTTTAGAGTGAGAAATGATGAGAATAGGAGATAGCTAGACATTGCCCAGGCAGTGTTTTAGGGTTTTAGGGTAAAAGAGATCCTGGAAAGTGAACAGTTTTCTTTCTTGGCTAAAAGTTGAAATGTTCTTGGATATGCCAGCACCCCGTTCCTTGAAAGAGCCCAGAGACATTTCAGCCCAAATGTGTATGGTTCTGCCGTGGCCAGAGGCTGGGAGGTCTGTTCCATATCTCTTTCCTCCAGAACAAGCACCGTTTCCTGGAAATCATACTGAGGATATGGCTGTAACTGAGGCACCTGGATATCTTGAATCAGCTTATCCCCCTCCTCTTCCATTCTCCACCCAGAAAAGCCTTATTAATTTCAAGTCAGTGGCCCTTAGTGGTATCCCAGTCTCGGGGACCCCCTCCTATGTACAGGAGCTCTGCTTTCTTCTTTCTCCTTTCTCCCTCTTTCTTTCTTTCTTTCTTTCTTTCTTTCTTTCTTTCTTTCTTTCTTTCTTTCTTTCTTTCTTTCTTTCTTCCTTCCTTCCTTCCTTCCTTCCTTCCTCCCTCCCTCCCTCCCTCCCTTTCTCTTTCTTTCTTTCTCCTTCCTTCTTTCTCTCCTTCCTTCCTTCCTTCCTTCCTTCCTTCCTTCCTTCCTTCCTTCCTTCCTTCCTTCCTTTCGCCCTAAGACCCCGAGCAAAGCACAGGAACTGAGAAAGGCTCCCTTGCTCTCAAAGACATCCCTATGTTCTTATGTCCTTGGCTGGAAGCATCTTCTGGATATTAAGATACATGGGAAGTTGGCATCTATCCAGGGAGAGCCTCTAGGGAGTGACATGATTTATACCTGGCTTGGCAGGGTGTTGTTGGGTAGGAAATTGGCAGAGATGACAGAGGCAGACTGGCACATAGCTTCACAGCTACACTTATTTTAGTTCTGGAGAACTGATCAGATGAAACCAGTTTCTTTGACAGCCCTAGTCAGCAAAGGCAGAATGTTTACATTGACTTCTTGGTTAACTGCTGGATGCTCCGTTTGCCCACCTCCTAACAATGTGCATCTCCTTTCCATCGTTTCTAACTTTTATTCTCTTCAGACTTTTTCCTTTTCTCTCTCACCTGTTTCATTTTTTAATTGTTTGCACCTCTGACCAACTGAGTCTCATAAGCAGTTAAATGTTCTGTTTGTAAAAGCACCCAGTGTCTCAGAGTCAGTCCTTGACAGTTTCTGTCTGGACGATCTAAGATGGATTGAAAAGGGTTTACTATGACTGGAATAGTGTAGCTGGAATGGGCCAGCATTTCTGTAACATTTTCCAATCAAGATATTTTGAAAACACCTCTATTTCCACTTGCAACAAACATGATCTTACGAGTCAGGATTATTCATTTCAACACAAAAACTCCTAGATTTGTTTGTTTGCTTATATATACCAAAAACTCATAACAGGCACGTACATTTGCAAGCTACCTTAGTCTTCTGGTTTGTTTTTAAACTTAGTAATATATTTCACCATTTGAGAAAGTTGTACAGCATAGTGTGATTTAGGGAAAAAAATCATTATTCCATCAATAGCAACTGTTAGACATTATGGCTATTTCTAATTTTAACTGTTACAGGCTGTGTTTGTATAAGAATCTTTGAAGAAAATGGTACATAAGGCCATCATATCTACCTTCTTATTTCTCTAGCCTCATCCAAGACATTCCATGTGTTCTCTGAATGCTATAGTAATTTGAACATGCTGTCTCCTGTCTCAAAGCATTTGCATGCGTTATTCCACTCCTAGAAAATGTGTGTCAAAGATAAATTACCAGATGAAAAATTGCTGTATTGGGGAGTGGTTAAGACTTTTGATGTACTAAATAGTTTTTCAATAGAAATACCAATACTCTCATTTTTTTCCTACACTTTGACATACACCGTGTGCTATTTGTTTCACATTTGACAACTTGATGGTATGAGCAATTGTCTCATTATTTTATTCAACATTCCTTTTTCTTCTATAAAACAATTGTTTTGTGTGAGAGAGAGAGAGAGCACTCCTGGTGTGCGTTCATGCATCTGCCACAGCAGGGGCCAACTTGGTAGACTCAGATCTGCTCTTCCACTTTTACATGGTTCCAAGGACTGAACTCAGGTCCCTAGACTTTCCCAGAACACATTTACCCACTGAGCCACATCACTGGCTCATTGTTTAGTATTTTTTATTTGGCAAGATACCTGTTTCTGACATAGTTCATTTTCTACTGAGATATTTATCATGTATTTGTTAATTTCTAAGCATTCTTTATACATTGAGGTTATTAATAATTTACCTATTACCATTTTTATGGAAAAATATAAATACCTTTTATACGTATTTGTTTTCTATTACCAATATAAAATGTAAATATATCTCCTCCCACTGTTTTTAAATCATATTTGTTACCAGCTTTTTAAAAAGTTGGTTACAAAAGCATAGATGCAAAAGTAGGAACATTTAGATACCTCTTTTAAAAGAACATTTTGGTATTTTAAAATTCAGTGTTTTAAAAACTGAATTTAAAAATATAAAAACAATGCAGTTTTAAAACGCTGTTTTGAAAATGTAAAAGTGCAGCACTGCATGTAGTTCCCTTCAGCCACGACATGGTTGATTCCAACTCAAAGCTAGCAGGGTCGCAGCAGAGTGAAGGAAAACGTAAGAGGACTTTTCCTCATGGACTTGTGTTTCAGAATCCAAAGGATTGGAACTGGCCTTGATGGCCAAGGCACAGTGAGGCAGCCCCTTCCTGGCTCTGGAGATGCTGGTATGGGTGAGCAGACCCTGAAAGCATGGGAGCAAAAGAGCTGACCTTGCCTCCTGCTGATAGAGACACTGGGTGGGCTAGTCAGAGCTGTGCTAGAGAGCTTGCCCTCATAGTGCGGATAAGGGTAGCTGGGTAGTTCAGCTACCACCAGGCCCGGATCCACCACCCCCAAATCTATATCATCTGCGACTGGTTGAGATGTGTGAAGGGGCCAGTCCTGCCAATCCAAAGATTCAGGATCTCCGTGACAGAGGGCAACGTCAGGATAACCAGGAGGAGTCCTGGTGAGGATCCAATATTAATCGTGTGACAGAAGCCAGAGATCTCAACCAGACCAATGGCTTAGTGCAATGAACATTTGCAAGTGAAGATGTGTGGACAGAGGGGTACACTGTGGGACACACTGTGGCACACTGCAGCTTCCATGATGAGATGTTTTCTATGCTTTGTGTTGTTTCATTTTTGTTTCTGTGGGTTTTTTTTTGGGGGGGGTGAGGTTGCAAGGGCAGATACAAGAGGACAGGGAGATGAGTGGGACTGGGGTGCATGGTATGAAACTCACAGAGTTAATAAAAAGTTGTTCTTTTTTTTTTTTTTAAAAAAAAAAAAGAAGAGCTAAGTTTTTTCCCCAGTTCTCAGTCTCTCAATTCCAAAAGAGATAACTACACTGGTTTTAGTGGGGAGAAAAGGCTTGGTAGGAATGGGGATGGGGGTGGCACTAGAAATAGGACTGAGTTCCTTGGAGAAGATGCTATACATTCTCCTTCGGTTGCAAATTTTAAAAATCCCCAAATAGGCAGCTGGAAGTCATGCTTCACTACTTCATGAGTAAAAGCAATGGTTGATGCAAACACCGAAGGACAGAAAATGGCTCTCACTAATGACAACTCCACAGCATGTTGGAAAAGCAGCAAAATCATTATGTTAGCTCAAGAGTAACATGAAAGATACTGGGAAATTTGCACCTGAAAGACAGGAACATGGGGACAGCTTTCATGAACTTATGGCAGAGGTCAGTTGGGTTGTGGACATGACCAACACTATCATGGATAAAATGCCATCATTTCTGTTTGTAAGGTCACAGTGTGAGTTGCACAACACCAGTTCTTCCAATTAATTTTATTAGCCTGTGGACAAGAAGTCGTCATTTCATGAGCATAGCTGCACTATTTTCCTGCTGCTGCTGCATCATCTCTTCCCGGTGCTCAGGAATAATCAGGGAGGTCTCACGGGAAAGGAAGGGGAGCCCTTCAGGATGTGCTTGCGCACCTCAACGCTGAGATCTCAGAAGAGCAGAACACAGCGGATGCTGAAACATCAAAAGTGTGATCATGAAATGCCTGGGAGGCCCAGACTTCAACAAAGCAATGTATGTGGCACCCAAAGGACTCTCAATGCCCATTGACATCTTGATTCCACCTTTGCTCTAATTTACCCAAGTAAAACATTGGCATCTGGGTCTGGATTGGAACCCAACATCATACAGAAAAGGAAGTCCTCCTCTTCAAGCACTGTTCTCTTTGGCTGCACAACTACAGAAGAACCCAGGACCTCACTTGCAGTTTCTTAACATCCTGCTCCTGTAGCATCTTGCCTAACATCTCGACCAGAAAGAAAAAGATGACTTTCTCTGGTTTCTTTTCCTTTTGCAGTATGTCCACTAACTGCCAGATGTCTTCACCCATATACAATAATCATTTAAAAATTTCAGGTGAGTTTTCCTGATGTTCTGTTCTTGATTTAAATGGGTTGACAGGCTCAGTGAAACTTGATAAGAAAGAATAGGGTAAAAACGTGAAGATTTTCATATAAAAATCATTAAGCAAATGAAGTGTGAAGACAAGAGTTGGGGAAATAGTATGAGATGGAGACTTGCTTCAAAGTGAAACCAGAAAAGCACATTAATCACAGTTTTGATTGTTTCTTTACTGTTTGTTATTGCTCTACACTGACTGTACCACACTTGTACAGCCCCAGAAGACAATTAAAGGTCTCCAAACTGAAGCATTTGCTCCAGGAGGGAGAAAGGAGGCTCACAAAAGTCAGGAGGTAAAGGAGCTTCACATCTGGGAACGCTGAAGCTTGCAAGATTCTGCGGCCCCTCCCCAGGGTCGTGGACGCTGTAAGCAACTGCTCAAGAGAGGAATCTAACTCTGTAGCCCAGCGACAGAGACTCTGGAGCTGCTTGTAAGTCATACAGAGCGCTCCTGGGATGCTGCCCTCATGAATCATCGCCCACACTGGGAGGCTTTTCATTGATGCAGCCGCTTTAGAGTCATCCTTGTTCCTGTGAGTAACGCTTCCCTCCTGTTAGTAACCCCAATAAAACTCAGCAGTTTGCCAAGCTGGACTCTGGTGAAGTCAGCACTTTGGCCTATTGTGAGTTCCCTGAATTGAATAGGGGTGTGTGTGTGTCATGTCTCTCTGACAAAACCACTAATAGTCAGCCTAATAACCTATGAGTTATTATAGGAGATCATTAAACACTCACGTTTTTCCTGCATGATACAGCTTCAAGGCTTTGTGGAGTTGGTTAAAGGGCAGCTGATGAGTCACTAATGGATCTATATTAATCTTATCTTGGAGATAATCAGTCACTATTTTGGGAAGACAGTCTCTGGTTTTATAATCTGCAAAACAAAACAAAACAAAGCTATTAATAATATGACCTGAGATCAAACAGTCTGGTGAGATGGTTCAGCAGGTAACAACACTTGCTGTAGAAACCTGACAACCTGAATTAGATCTTTGGGAGCTATATGGTAGACGGAGAGAACTAATTCCAGTAAATCATCCTCTGGCCTTCTCATATGTGCCCTGGCATGTATGTACACACACACACAACCCCCCCCCACAAATAATAATGAAAAATGTAATTAAAAATAAAAGGCATCAACCAATCAAAAGAGTAAAAAAAAAATTAAGTAAGTCATGATCAATGGGTAAGGTCCTCTGAAAATTTATCATTGAACACAAAAGAAAAATTGTTTGTACCAGAGAAGCCATTGACAGCTGCTGTTTAAATGTGACTTCTATAGACAATTCTCTTACTGTTCAATAAAATCTGGGTCAATATTCATATTACTGATTGAAAAATAATCTTTTAGCCTTATTAACTCACGTTCTAGGATTACCATTACAAAACCATTTCCTTTCCCATGCATGGGCTTGGCATGGGCAACTTCTCCATCGACATACTTAGAGGTGGCATAGAAACTGCACCTGTCTGCATGAATGAAGATGGCATGGAAACCCTCTTTATTCATGTGCATGGGGATGACATGGAAATCCTCTATGTCCACATGCCTGGGGATGACATGTAAGCCTCTGACCACATACATGAGGATTGCATGAGAATCCTTTCTGTCGATAGGCATAGAAATGACATGGACTCTTACCACTAGATAAATGGATAGACATGGTAGTATTAATTTTTTTAATCAGCTAGTAAATATTGCTTTGAAATAAGGACTTTTGTCTTGGAAGAAAGAAGCACAAGGTCAAAAATACCAATTTAGTGCATATAATGACATTTAAGACACTAAAACACCACAATAAATTTTGCAGCCATTAGTGCAGAACCAAAGTTGATTAACTTATTTTGATTGCTGTAACAATATTTCTCTAGGAGAAAAAAAATTGTAATCCTCAGTGGCTCTACTATTTTATTTAGCTAATTAAAATGAATTTGATGATTTGGGCAGATGTCTTGGTTGGTAAAGGGCTTTCCCAGGTGTGCAGGTCCCCAGAGTGAACAGGCATGGTAGTTATAGACATTTAATCTTAGCACTAGGAAAATGAAACAGGAGGATATCTGGAACTCACTGGCCAATTAGTTTTGTCCATTTGGTGAGCTCCAGGTGTACTGAGAAACTCTGTGTCAAAAAAATAAACTAGACAGAGAAAAACCCCTGACATCCAACTCCAGGCTTCACACACACACTCACATACTTATGCTTGCACACCCTTACACGTACAAGTACACTCATGAACCTGTACACACACATGAATACATGCCTACCTCATACTACATCCTCCCACACATTAACAAAAAAAAGTAATTTGGAAAATGTTGCACTCATTTCAGGAGGAGTCTTTGGACACATTTACCCTAGATGTCAGTGATCACACCCTTCTACTCGTTGACCTACCTCCCAAACACACGCCCTTCAGGGTTTTCCCAGACAAAATCCTGACTGCGTCAAGGGGTAACTGTGCATCTGAGGGAGCCAGCCCAGCGATCAGACAGACGCCATAGCTGTTGTTGCAGGAGTTCCAAGCAGCGATCTGAGAAGACAGTGAGAGCCAGTGCTTATGCCATGCATTAACACCGGCTACCCACGAAGGGAACAGGCCTGGACACCCTGGACTTTGAACTTCTCTTGGATAGATGCTACTTCAAATTCAACCTCACCATCAGGGTCATGGGCATCTCCTCAGGGAATCAGTGCAAGCTCTCTAACTTCCTGTTCACTCCATCTCCTTGCAGGGTTTTTCTGACTATTGAAAGATTTAGCATCCTTAACACTCCAGTGCGATATCAGTGTACAAGAATAAATGGTGTGTTAAATAAAACTATTTACAGCCTTAAAGGCCACATATTTTATTTGTCTGACTTTCTGCCTGTTATGATTGACTGTTCAATTAATTTCTGCTAAAACAGAACAGAACAGAATGTGGTAAATATAGATGTAATTTGAGGAAGCTTCATTTAAAAAAAATTGATTTTTCATTGATCCATAGGCACACATTTTCTTATCTATTTGTCTTCCTACCTCTGTTTTCTTTCACTTTCCCTCAAATTTTACCTATTGGCCTATTTTCTGTCATCTACATCCCTAACTGCAGCCTTTGAGCAAGGAATTAGCCACACAGTTCAATGTAATGAGTCTATACATTCTTTTCTCTAAACTGTTTGGCTCAGGAGGATGGCACCTAGCTCATTAATTACTGGTGCCATAGAACTTGACACATAGAGGTATAAGAGTTTGACAGTTTCTCAAGTTCTATTAGTGAACACAGATAAATATATGTGAATTCAATAATGTTCTTACTTAGGTATAAATAACTAGACTTGAGAAAAGTGAATTACTGATCTCATGACGTTTTGCTTGTTTAAATTTTGTGTACAATAACTTTATCTCTTCATACATATTGCTTTTGTGTAATAAAATAAGGCTGTGGAGTGGAATTACATGCCATTTTTCAGTTGGGGCACACAGGACTAAGAATTTCCAGTACAGTTTATAATTGTACATGTATATACCCATTAAACATACCATGGTATCAACCAATCCGACGGCCTCAAAGGCAAAGTCAGCTCCAACACCCGTCATTTCCATCACCACCTCATGGACGGGTTTCTTGAGCTTGTTAGGGTTGAGACAGTCAGTGACACCCAAGGCCTTTGCCCGAAGAAACTTTTTCTCATTGATATCAACCCCGATGATTCTAGAAGCACCAGAGGCTTTGCAGGCCATGACAATGGCTGATCCAACCCCTCCGAGTCCAAAAACCACACAGGTGGAGCCAGGCGTGACCTACAATCACAAGATGTGCTTGTATAAGTTTTTAAAGGTGGGCACAGGCAGTTAAGAAAATAACAGCAAGTGAAAAACTAGTGAGCTTTTTAAAACTTAGGTATACTACTTTGATCATTTGGACAGATTCAGCTTAGTTTTGGCTCCTCAACCCCAGGCAAACAAACAAACAAACAAACAAAAAACCCTGTGCTATATAGAGCTGCAGAAAACCCACCAAACTAGACTACTCCGTGGGTAGAAAGAAGTTTATTGGGGAACAAACTTCTGGGCTGCCAGCTGCCTCAGAGACCAAAGAACAACAGCATGCGGGGATGGGAGAATGGGGATGGAGGGTGGGAGTGGGAGATATTCTTGTCAGTTTTATTGGGGCAGGTAGTCAGGGGAGGTAGGTGGGGACCAGAACAGCTAGGAGTTAGTGTGGGGACTTTGAAATGATACAGGCTGTTCGGGTTAACCAGGAACTAGTTAGCTTTGCTATTGGAGGTGGGGAAGGGAAGTAATTGTTTTCCTGATAACAGAAACCCACACTGTGAGGTTTCTGAGGAATGCCAGGGCTAGGTTTCTGTTTACCGGATGAGAATCCTTCTGTTTACCCAGTAAGGACCTGGCCTGTGTTAGGACAGCAGTGCTGGCAGCAATGCTGTTTGGGGCCTGCTTTGTGAACTAACAACAAATACGTGGCTCACCTTGGCTGAGTTAACAACAGCCCCGTAGCCTGTCGGGACGCCGCAGCTTATGAGGCAAACTTTGTCCATAGGAGCAGCATCATCAATTTTTACCACTGCAATCTCTGGCACAACAGTGTACTCAGTGAATGTGCTTACTCGGAAAGAGTGATACACCTTCTTTCCTCGGCAGGAAAATCTACAAGTCCCGTCCAGCATCACCCCAGAACAAGGAAGAACGCTGTCCCCCAGACATGGACAGGCACGGACATAAGAAGTTGAAAAGAGAGAAGTGGTTACCATTAGGTGCATCCAATGTGAGCATTGGGTAAAAGGGCAAGGGACAAATCTACTAACTCTTGCTTGTCACAGAAGTTTCCTTCGGGGTGTAAGCAGGAGTCACAGTTTTTACACTGTGGAAGAATGAGGGTGAGGACTTTATCTCCTGTAAAAGTGGGGGAGAGATAAATCATTAATTTTGAAATTATGAGTGGAATAAAAATATAAAATCTTACCAGATCTCTTTAACATGTGCTGTGGACAGATGGCAGCAGTGTGACACCCAGGATCATTTTAAAGGGTAAGTGGTTTTACCTGGTTTCAGATACTTATCATTTGAGCAAATGGTAGCGATACGGAGACATTGTCTACTGAATAGATACTTTTAGGTCTGTTTTTTCCTACTTAGAAAACAGAGCAAGAGAACCGGAAGTGAGCCTCAGAGTCATCTAGTTTAATTCTTTTGCTTCCCATTTTAAAAATTCAATCCCTTGCTGGTTGTAGCTCATTTACAGGAGCCCAGCAATGCCGGCACCTTCTTTGGAGTCTTCCTGGCCCACTCGCACACCGACACTCAGCAGGCCTCTGGCACTGGTTTATTTGTGATGAATTCTAAATCTGCGTCAACTTCAGAGTGAAGGTTCTGTCTCTCAGACTTTCCTTCTGGAATAATTACTATGAAAGGTGGCTTTCAAGCTACAGACTTGTGGAGAGGATCTTGATGAAGTTGGGGTCTTGGATCAGCTCACATCCCTAAGGTTTAGAGTGGCAGCCTGAGAGGACTTGGGAAGAACTTTGACCTATTCAGTCATCACAGAGTCCTGAAGACAGTGTTATCTGTGTACTGACCCTTACCAATGTTTATTGTATAGGAAAATTCCTTAAGATGGCATTAAAAATCTCCTTACGATTAAATAAAGCACATCTGACCTTTCTTGGCTCTAAAAGCTTCTAGATACTAGATCTCAGATCTGGAAAAAGTTCTATCTTTTCCCTTCAAATGCTCGTTGTTGTTTCCTACAAAAATCCCCATGGAATCTTCTAGCTAAAGAGGAGGCAGACTGTAAACTCTCTATTTATATTACGTTCTGGGAGGTGCATATTCAACCCTTTGCTTTCCAACTTCTTCGATCCACAGTGTACATCTCATAATCGCTCTACATTTTGTGAATGCACTTGACAGCCATGAATGGCCTTGCTGTGCCCTTTCTTAAATCCTCCTTATGCAGCTGGCCCCAAGCTATAGGGTTTCTAAATTACCATAATCTGTGAGTGATTGCTCATTCACTGTGATCGTTTGAGGCATGCTAAGAATAATAATGTCAAGAACCTTCAGGATGCAACTGGGGAAGATTCGCTGAAATGTAACCCCTGTCTTGTCATGTAACTTTTAGGCAGTACATTGTAGCTGATTAAAAGATTCCTTAGTTAAACACTCCAACTTCGGAATGGACACTATTCTAAAACATTCTGGGGCATCAAGAGATAAAAAGTAGTTTTTAAGCCTAAGGACCTTTCAAACAATTTAGAGTTTCTCTGCTCTTACATCTACTTTTAGCTGGCTGTGGGCAGAGACTCAGGAACTATTCTTCATACCCTAGATTTGTCAGAAAAGAGGTGATAGTGGTGTGACTTTTTGGATTACTGGCTTCATTTGATAACATGGTACCTCATTAACTAGAGGAATCTGGAGGCAAACCCAACTTGATTTTTTGCTGAACATGCTAGCTGAACATGCATTCTGAGCCTGCCAGGAGTTCCTGGCATGCTGTTCTGAATGCATCTTGTTTCTCATTTTGTACCTGGTTTCACAGTAGAAACTCCATCACCAACACTCTCCACAATTCCTGCTCCTTCATGACCCGGAATTAAAGGAAACTTCATTGGGAGTTTTCCTTTCAGCACATGGTCATCAGAACCACAGATCCCTGAAGATATCATCTGCAGAGAAATTAAGTGGCCAAAAGACAACTGCTTTATGATTTTTTCTACCTCTTTTGAGACTCAGTGTTTAGTTTTGTTTCATTAGACATGAATGATACCACTTGATCTCTAAAACAACACTCAAAATGTCAGAACAAAAACCTGCCCCTAGAAGAGGGATCTCCCTTTAAAAGGCCAGACCTCAATGCCTGAAGAGACCCTGCTATGCTTCTCTGTGTGGCAGAGGTAAGAGGCAGTCTATGCTGTGACTTGACAGCTCTCAGTGTAGACAACACGGTTCTTCCATGACCTCTGTCATGCCCACCATGTTGAAACAAATCATGGGATATCAAACTTCCCATCAGTCCCCTCACCCCAAAATTTATAAAGTCGTATTTTCCCTTTGTTCTGGGGATTGGTGCAGAGATTTCGCAGGGGCATTTGCTTGGAGACTACTCTAAAGACTGCTCTATGAGGCCTCTCTGGCCTCTTGCCATCCCTCTCCTGGCTGCTCTTTGTTTCTCTTCTGATCGCTCTCATTTTCACTTTTGATGAAGTTTCACTTCTGGCTTTAAAGAGAAACTGCTCCTTCAGTCTCCATTATGTTTCCATCTCCAACACATTTCTGTCTCCATGTATTGTATTGTTTCTGTGTAATGCCCTCTCAACCTTGAGTCCTGATCATGGCCGTGAAGCCCTTTCTTCCAACAAGCTCCATCTTTGGACTGGCTACTACTGCTTTATTATTGCTTCTTTTATTATATTTGACAAGAGGAACATTGAAGGTCTCACCATCAATTCAGGTATGGAGGAAGGGAGGACCAGAGACTTAGAATGACTTATCCAGTGTCACATGGCTTCATGTTCAGAACTTATAATAATTTTTTTTTAAATCTAATCTATATGACCTATGCAATGAACATTTTTAAAATAAAGGCTTTGTTTTCATTTTTTTGGAAATATTAGTAATAGCATCACTGTCAAGAAACACACATGTTTAGGTCCAATATTGTGAAACTCAATACTTTAGAAATAAATTTTCAAAAATTTAAACATGTACATTGAGAATTTTCTTTAAGGCTGGGTATGGTGGCACACACCTTTAGTTTCAGCACTTAGGAGGGAAAGCAGATGGATCTCTGTGAATTAGAGGCAAGCATGGTTTACATAGTGAGTTCCAAGATAGCCAGGGTATTTTTAGCATTTGGGAGGCAGAGGCAGACAGATCTCTGTGAGCTCAAAGCCAGGCTTGTGTACATGGAGAGTTCCCAGCCAGCCAGGGCTACAGAGTCCTGTCTTCAAAGAGAAAGAGAGACAGAAAAAGAGAGAGAGACTGAGGCAGGCAGAGACAGACAGACAGAAAGAGACAGAGACACACAGAGAGACAGAGATGGAGGAGCTAATATTGTAAAAGAAAATTAAGTTAAATAAACTAATGTTCAAGATTTTAACTCTTACTGGGAAGTTTGAAAACTTTTTAGATCATTACTTAAGCTTTCTTGTCTGTGTTTGGCTCAAGCCATCTACATTAGACTTTCCAAATGAGACATTAGATGCACAAAAGCCTATGTGTTCTGTCTCCTAGGAGAGTGCAGAACATCATCACTCCATCATCTGTGGCTGAAGAGGTAGCTAGAAAACTGGAAAGAGAGCTGTGTCTGAATGCTGAAAGTGGGTGAAAAGATGTGCCAGGGAGAAATTCCCAAGTTTTGGGTCCTCACTGGGTCAAAATGGCTTCAAGATGCTGCCAAAGGCTAGAAATGCTTTTTTATATATAGGGAGTTCTATAAACCTCTGAGTTTATGGTGTGCAGCAAGTGTAATTGTCTGTGGCCATGGCTCCTACAAGCTAGGAGGGCAGGGGCTCCGCCATCACCGTGGGCATAGCCAGGCTCTAGCTTTGATGTTTACCATGGCTTATTTCTTGCCACCACAGTCTCCAGCTGTTGGGGTAGTCTGCATGTCTGACCTAGGCTGTAGTCATCATGGATAAGGAGTGTAGCTTTGTAAGAGCAGCAACCAATTAACCAGGATGCATTGTAGATAATGGCTCAGCACAGGGTAAGCACATAAACACTGGCTGCTCTCTAGGTCTGTGCGAAATAAGGGACTCAGCTTCCAAAGAGTGGGTGTGGCCAAAACAGTGATTGAACCCTGTCCTTTGTTATACCTGCCACTCTCATTTTGTCCCCAAATTCTCTCTGGGCACGACATTGGCCATGGTGCTGGTAATTTAGTGAGTGGGAGTTCCTTGCTTTACTGTTTTGCCTTTCATTTCTCAGCTGACCTTTTCTGTTGCTCTCTTTTCCTCCAATAGGTTTTTCTCTTTTAGAATTTTAAAAATTCCTATTTTTATTTTTAACTATGTGTATGCATGTGTATCTGTGTAGAAATATGTGTATGTCTGCCACTGCCTGTGAAGGCCAGAAGATGGATTAGGATCCCCGGGAACTGGAGTTACAGGTAGCCACTAAACTTGGATGCTGGAAACTGAACACAGGTCCTTTAGATGAGCAGTAATTGCTCACTGGACCTTCCTACCAGTCTGGCCTTCAGTGTTTTTTTCTTTGGTTGATTTTTGTTTTCTGGCACCTTGCCAAATGCCTTTAGTTGGTTTTTTCTCTGTCTCTCTTATAACTATCACCCCAACCCCCAGCCCCAA